CCTCTTTTCTTTCATGTCCCCCTGTCTTCATGTCTGGTCATCTCATCCCTTTCTTCGTTTGCGCGCACATTGGTCCCGACCTTAGTGTGTACGTGTACTTTACATACTTTTGAACACAGGCTTCAGGTCGCCCAGGTCTTTACAATGAGGTGGGGTTCATCGGTTGTCCCTGTGCACTTGGTTTCTTTTGTTCATTGCAACCACACACCTTTTTGTCCCGTCTTGTCCTCCTTCTCATGCCTTCATCCTTTTGTCTTTGCCGCGTGCACATTTACACAACAGTCCTAGCCTTAGTTCTTTTTGCCTCCCCTCGGGGAGGCGTGTGTGTGTGTGCCCCTTGTAGTCACAGGGATTCTTTTGAATTGTTTTTCTTTTACATCAGCAGGGGGTAGCGGCAGATCACTTGGGACCGCTACCAACGAAGACGCCCATTTGATCTGGTGCGTACCTGCTTAATTTTAAGATTTGCTGAGTTGAGCTTGAGATTCTGCAGACATGCACGACACGCCGTCACTTCGACCTGATCGTCGTTCTCGATCTTGCGCTTTTGACCCCACTTCCTCTTGCAGACCCCCAGGATCCGATGGTTTCTTACTGGTCTTCTTAGGAAATGGTACCCTAGGCCGGCGTGTGGTACCGCTGTCAAGTCAGTACGCATATCCATAAGTGTGTGTTTGGGGTAGAGGCCGTCCTTTCCAACTGAAGAACCTGTGAAGAGCACGGGCTGTCATTCCCGTCCGGTGTTGGAGCCACCTTCGTTGAGAAAGGTCAAAACATCGCCATTTTGGGCAATGGCGCATTTGCTGTGGAGAATGCAAGGGACCTAGGGTGAGTGAAGGGTGGGATTATTCCATAAACTCTTGTCTAATTAGTGACCAGTGCCAGTGGCATGTCTATCATGCTTGCTTGGTTTAGAGACACTAGCTTAGGTATGGATTTTCATACCATACCAGATGCGAGACATTGTGCTAATTCATTAGTGTGGAGATGTTCAATATCTGCAATTTTTTTCAGCCTTGGTGATTGGTTTTGATGACTTAGGCAGGGTACGGTTTAGGCAGAAGCATTGATCAGCTTGCTCAGCTCACGCTGCCTGCATTTATCCTATCGAAACTGTCAAGGCATTTACTACCAACCACGCAAACGAAAGAACCGTTGATATTGACCAGCGAGTAAGCTACAGCGTATAAGTATGTAATATATGTTATATGACTCATTTAATTGTGTAAAGAGCGGTCGTGAATCTCAGGAATTGGGCTAAAAAACCTGCAAAAACGATAGGCTCCTCTCAACAGCGATAACCCCATTTCCGCAGCTTTTGGATATGTTCAGCTATGTTGACATTGTGGCTAAAACCTGCATAATTAAGCGATAGGCCCCACTCAAAAGTTTTAACCTTGCTGAATCACGTCCTTTGCTTGACAGTACGTTTTGGCAGATGCTCATAATATGCCAACGAAGGCCCGCACCTGCGTGGAGCACGCAGCAAATAAGGTGGGAGTGTGTTTTGCTTGTTGCGGCCACAGAAGTGTAGAGCATTGTGGAGCAGCTCAAGGACAAAAAACATCAGGGCAAGCTTAACCTCACAGAGGCACGCATCAGAAGCATGGGAATCACGTGGGTCAGCACTTTTTTCTTTGCAGCGTCTCATTTGGCTCAAGTGAAACGCTTGGAATTCTTGTGGCGGGCCTTAGGCTGCACAAGGACCTGAAATTTGGCAGACACCTGAAAGAATGTTGTATGTTATAGAATGTTATGGACTTTGCTGTTGCTTTGCCAAAGTGGCTTAGGAGGTTCCTAGGTTTGGCTACGGCTAGTGACTGAGTGAGTGACTGTCATACGATCATTCTGGTGTTTTCCGGCTGCTTTGCCTTGAATCTGAAATCATGCGTCATCATGTTCACATCAAATCTAGATCTGCCTACAATCTAACCAAGTGCACCGACAAAATGCGTCAATGCATTTTCCGTTTCAAAGCGCTAATTCCCCAAGTCTCGTGCAGTGCCGCACTGAGAGGATCGAATGGAGCTGCGTGTAGAGTCTGCCGATGGCCATACCTTGCCTAAGAATTGCAGCTGTTCTCAAAGGGTGTGGTGAGGGCACTCGCCATGACCAATCTTGAATGGCCTTGTTGCCCCCGGTCGCGCATGGAATAAGACAATATGTTACAAAGATATGCCATGCCATGACATGATGTACCCCGATTTGACCCAACACCAGCACTTGCCCTTGCGTACAGACCATGTTTTGATGTATTTGGCAGGGGTGCATGGAGGTGTTGATGACATACAGTAGATGCCCGAGGCTTCATTGGCGTTCGTGTGGGAGATGTTCTGAAGCAAGGGAGGCAGGAAGGGGAGAGAGAAAGAGAGAGAGGGAGAGAGCGAGAGCGCGAATCACAGGATGAGACAAAACCATCGAGGCTGATCCATACAAGGCACCAGTTGGGTGGGCAAGAACGCTTGCTCAGACTCCTGGTCAGGTACGAGCCGCAACGCTGCTACAACTTTCCACAATTGGATCGTAGACGGAATGCCAAAGTTGACATTTATCAGCACGTCTTGGGCTAAGAGCAGTTGGTGCGGACTGAACAAAAAAGTTTGAGTGCGATTCCGGTCTATATTGCATTTGAATGCATTTGATTGGAGGCCTTTTGTTGCTAAGAGCCTGCAGCGGCGGGTCCAAGTTTGGGGCCAAGGTTGGTACCTGCATGGTGGCAGTGGATCCGGACACCAAAGCCGTACACGAGCCTTGGATTTCTCATGCAATTATATAGGTTTTTCAGTGCGGAACGGACGTTCTTGGCGTCGTCTTGTGAAGCTTGAAGGATGTTGTTGTTTTGGCCGAGGGGCCGAGGGGATTTTGCAACCCTAGAAGACTAGAATAGAATCGGTCAAGAATGGCATGAACTAGGACCGAAATCAGGGGGCTGTGACCGTTTCATTGATATCATTGTGCCAAAAAGCCGTCAATCATTAGTTTGTTCACTGGGACAGAGGCCGAAGGTCTCCCAAGTCGTGATCCAAGCAGGTCGTGACGAATTCTCAGTCAAAACCGGTTTTTGCCGATTCCAGACTCCAGACATCTCCAGACTCCAGATGTCCAGTTTCAGATCGCCCAAGTTCCAGGAAGTCGCTGTGAGCAGCTTGGACCCAGCGATGCCTGGTGGACGGATTCGCATCAATGTCCAGGCGAGATTTGCGCATATCGTGTCCTCTTCAATCAACATGACATCCACAAGTCATCCACAAGTCCTTGTCTCCATTTTAGACACGCAGAGATTCATGAGCATGTTCAAACTCCATGGTCCATGCTAGCTGAAGAGTGGGTATCCTGATGTGTCCTGCTCCGACTACGCAGATGCAAGATCTTATCAGCATCACTAGGGCATGTTGAGAATTGAATGTTGTTGTTTGATCTTCTGTTTGCTCCACACCTTTGTCTCATCTCCCTGTGTGCATGTGCACGACACCTGCAAGATCATTCCCATGCGACAGGCCATGTCAGAAGAAAACAAGCAGCAGCGAGAGCAACGGACCAAGGTGGGCTTTGTAGACAGAAGAGTCTTTGGGTGTCCCGAACTTTCCTTTGTCTCAACTCTCGCGAGTTGGCACGTGCAATTTTACACCTCGGGTCAAAGCACTTCGACATTTGATGTATGTATGTATGTATGTATGTATGTATGTATGTATGTATGTATGT